CTTAAGCTACTTTTTTTGCATTTATATAATCTAAGAACCTATTGTAGATCCTCAACCATTGAATTGAAGGAAAAGATGAGCCCCGTAAATCTGAAACTGAGGGTTTAAAATCTTCTTGCATATCATCTTAGCTTGATTACTACTTTATTTAACATTATGTTTTATTGATGCAAAAATAAAAGCCTATAGTAATACACACGCTCACACTTAAACATGTCGAGAGATCAAGAGACGCAAGAGAGAGAGAAAGAGAGAGAGAGAGAGAGAGAGAGAGAGAGAGAGAGAGAGAGAGAGAGAGACTTACAAAATTAGCAAGGGTATCTTTATTGTTGCATCTAACCCCCAGAAGTAGCACAATGCCGCCTTAAAAATATCAGCTTTTTCTTGCTTTTGCGGAGTGTTTGGCATTTCTGATGTTTTCACCAGAGAAGGTTCTCCCAGAGCTCCATCGAATTCTCGTGTTTGTGACGGTGTACGAATTAACATCAGCCACTTCATAAATAAATTTTGTATAGCCATTGACCTATTTGTAGTGTCATCCGATTCTGTATAAGGAGCAGCTACAATATCCTGTACCTTTGAAGAGTCCACAGAGGGCTCTTCACTCTCATGTTGCAAATAAGAAACAACTTTGACGTGATTATGTAATGACTTCGAGCCATTAGCCTTGCCACCAGAATCATCGCGTTGACTGCTGCCTTTGAAAGCAGTTATTTTAAATAATTTTGGCTTTTGTCCATGAGCAAGAGAAGTGCCTACACTGCAAGCAAGATATTTATTAGCTTCAAAACAAGCAGCATTTTCAGATGATGAAAAATTGAGTTACCATTTCAGGATATAGTGAACATAATAAAAAGGTAGGTAAATTTCAGAAGTTATTGTGTAAAATGTAAAACTACTGAACGTCTATGAAGATATCTTAAGTGTATTGTTAAGGCAGCATATATTTCTTGCCAAAAACAAAGGCGTTCAAAAATCAAACTATTTTAAAGAAATCCCAACAAATACACAACCGATACAGGAAAAGAAATATCTAAACAATGTCCTGCAAATAAAAAATTCTACTCCACGAATATATACTGATTTGGATACAAGGTTTTATAATTTTTATTAACACTAAACTGCTTGTACACTTAAAAGCTCTAACCTCAAACAAGGTCTGCGTCTCAAAGAGATTAATCTATCTTTTCTCCCGACTGTAAGAAATGCCGGCAAACATTGATTAACCTTACTCTCTCTGCTCCGTGATGAAGGGACAGAGAGAAAAATGCTACAAGAATCCTGAAAAAAGCCAACAAGAAAACTTTATCCATATTTAGATTGGTGGTACAAACAAGGAATGGTGTTTTTGAAATGATAATGGAAAAAATAAGTCAACCAAGAAAAGTGATGTACATGGGAAAAAAAAAAAAAAAGAGATACTACATTCACGATTCAACATGATTCCTATTTTATTGAGATCATTACAAGCTGTTTCAGAAAATACACCTAAGATACTAAGACAATGCTAACAAGAACAAATTTAACCTAAATTTTCAACACGGAGAAACAAGAAATAAAATCACGTATTGAAAAGTAGGTCACGGTAGTTCCCACACAAGGAAACTGAACTATAATGTTCACTAAAGATATTTTTTTTTTTTCCAAATAGCACAGTTGGTAGGCACAACCAAAATAAAAAGTTAAGCAAGCACATTTCTGAACTCTGAAAATGAGTGAGTGAAGGTCACTGGAAAATATTCCAACCTCGAAAGCTTGTGAAAAATGTTGTTCCAAGCAGTATTTCAGTCTTGTTAGGTCAAAAAGTAGATATAAATTACCTTTAACCTAAAACACAACAAGCTTTTTGCCACCCAACATCAAAAAATCAGTGTTTCATGACTCAACATACCCACCAAAACTGTCTTTTTGTCATTACCATCAAATATTGAATGATACAGCCATTTGAATATCAGCCATTTGAATACCCCACATCTTTAGCATTGATCAGCACAAATATATACAATCATTATTACCTTCAACTGATGTGTCGAAACTAATGCCATCATCTATACCGAAAGTAAACCAAGATTTGCCGCAAGACTCATACTTGAGTCATGATCAACCGACCCTGAAAAAAGTCGATTACCTTCACCTCAGGTCATCGTCAATTATCCAATTCATGCATCTAAACATAAAGGCACAAGGCTTATCTTTGAAAATCAGAGAAGCTTACCTTCCCCAGTGAAATACTAAACAACGAATGTGAACTGGGGATACTGCCCAAGAGCCCACTGCAAATGATATGCCAAACTAAACAAAATTAAATAACTTTATAAAATTTCCAAATTATTTTAACAACAGACAACAACAACAACAACAACAACAACAACAACAACAACAACAACAACAAAAACAACATCAATGTTCACATATTGCGTAAAAACAGACAAGGGCAGCTCACAAACATAGGTAAACAAGCGCAGAAAACGAAAATATGAGTGAAGTCATACAATTTGACGCATAATCAACACACGGGCACACATAAGGCATGCGATACATATTGATAAATAGCGAGATGAACGAGCTTACGATGAAAATTTGGACCTTTGCGGAACTGCGCAGTAGGTAATCGGAAGGGGAACCGGCAAGTTCTACGTTTGTAGATATAACTTGACGAGAGAGATAAGGGGATCTGGATACAGAGGAAGGAAAGGGGAAGGATGTCAAAATTGTGAAATTAGGGCATTTGAGGAGACCTTTAATTTCCAGTTAACGAGTAATTTCTAGATTTTTATTATTCTTTTTTTCCTTTTTTTTCCCCTAAAATTTAGGGTACCTCCTAATTTGGTTTTACGGTTGGCCTAACCATTAGACTGACATATCTTCAAAAAACAACTAAACAGAAAAAATGTTTAATAATAGATGCATTGTATTTTCGTACAAACAGTCAGCTGAGTCGACATGTTTAATCGTATTGCCTCACTCAACAATTTGTGCGTACTTACATTTCGTACATGATTGTCGCAATTTGGGCGGCCCGAAGCCTTTGCGCAAAATGGATTCTTATCGTTCCTAAAATGGGTCAGAGCCGATCCAGCTTATCAAGTTTGGATCTTTTGCCTTGATTTGATCCGACCCGAACCGACACAACCACCTCACATGCAAGATCCATTAGGATGAAACAAGTCCAAAGCCTTTTTTTTTTTAAACGATAAATAATATAGCATAAAAGTAACTGAATCAACTGAATCTAGTGAGAGGACTACTTAACCGGTAATCTAAAAGCAACTACACTAAATACACCCACAATATAACACAACTTGAAACCTCTCTAAATTGGAGAATACAAACTCCTCATAAGGGAAAATAACGACTCCTCGAAAGGAGAATAAATACATCCAACAACAACAAATCACCAAAAATAACATACAAGTATACAACTCACCCAAATACCACGCACCAACAAAAGACCCTAAGACAACAAAAAATAGCTAAAATAGAATAAGGCTCTCCACTATCCCAGCACCAACCGAGCCACACACACGATCAATCTCGACCGGAAGATAGAAACACGACCCAACCCAGATCTAGAAACTGCAACACATGTCTAACTAAACCCGGACCCAAGCGAGCCGACTCTCTGTCCCAGAGTTACTCCATGCATTTCGGCGCGGTACGATTTGTTTATTTCAATGTAAATAATTTTTTCATTGTTTCGATTCATTTTTTTTTAAATTGCGGTGCATTTCGGATATATTTTTTTAATATGTTCGGTTTTTAATTTTTTCACGTCTTTGTGCAGTTTTTCATCAAATCGCAACATTACTCATCACCTCCACGCAAAGGTAATTTTCTCTGTAATACTATCCAAACTGGTTAGGCCATGTACGGTCTCGTTTTAGGGCAGCCCCCGGACCGTTTCGAGCGGTCTTAGGTTTCTTGCCACTTGCCCGTTGGTGGCTTAAACTTTTAGCAGCTAAATAAAAATAAAACTCCCCCCC